TGTCGTATTTAATGCTTCATTAATTTTTTTTTTTTTTTGAAAGATAAGTATTGTTCCACTTTCAAAAAAAACCACCAAAATATCATTGAATATGTGAAGTAAGTTTTAAACTAAATACAACGCACGGGTTATCTAACATATAAGCATCTTATAAATAAATCTTATTCTTTACTGTTGTTGTATTAAGTATAGTTAGGTAAAACAACGACAAATATTATGAGCAAGCTAAATATATTTAAAAAAGTAAACTATAGTGTAAACATACTATTTATTATATTAAATAACATATTACATTTAAGCTAACGAATTAACATAGTACCCGCAGCCAAGGAAAATGTAAACCTAATGACACATACACACACATTATATTGGCGTCGCAATTTTAACAGGAATTTTTTTCCTGAAAAAAAAAATACGCTCTGTTGTAGAATTCCTCAAAAAGTGAAAAACTATATTTTAAATCAAGCTATACAAAACGAAAATGAAGTCTGAAAAATTCTTTTTTACAAAGTGTCACTTATACAATATATAATTTAAAAGGGCTGGATCTGTGTATACAGTATGTCCCCCTAAGTTGGAATCATATGGAAAACCTTTTTATTATTAATTTATTATTATTTTTCATAAAAAGTTCTGCATTATCTAAAACCTGGAATACAGTCATCAAATATCAAATTTTTTCAGTGGTATACGAGGTTTGTCAAAAAATACGAGTTTTACTCAAGAGTAAAGTACCTTTATTCTTTATACGACTGATAAAATTTGATATTTGATGGTTGTATTTTAGGTTTTAGACCATGCTCGACTTTTTATAAAGAACAACTTTTTATCCTAAAATTAGTAATAAAAAAGATTTTCATATGCCACCAATTTACGTAGACGATGGCACCTGTGAGGGCAGGAAATATCCGCGCCTGCGCTCGCGTTCATTGCCAATATTATTTATCTAGTGGATATCTGTAAGATATTGAATACAACTTACTAATTTTAAATTTCTATAAACTATACCTACATACTTTCTTAGTTATCACATGGCGTAATATTTAAATAATTTAATTATTAAATCAATTTGTATATTTTATGTACATATTATATCCATAAATTACATCCAGTGGATATCCACCATGGTTTGCGTTCGCACCTAGACTTTGATATATTTAGTGGATATTAATGGGATATTGAATACATTTAAAAAAAAAATATTTGAAATATCTAAATGGTACTATTAGCAATAATGGCGTAATTTTTTAATAATTTCTGATGGAATTACTATAATTTATGGACATTTGCATGTCTCATGGATATAAAATAGATATCCACCATGGACTGGACATTCAATGGATATTGGGATGTACAGTAGATATCCAAAGGATTTGGTATGCTGTCTGGGTATATAGATAGACAGCAATTACAAAAAAGGCTTTTTTAATAAATATCTTCCGTTTTCGATATTTTCAAATTTTCCAATTAATTTTTGTTCTTCTTTTCAGCGAATTTCCGTAAAAACAAGTTTAAATCGCCGCAATTTTTTCGAGTTGATCGGTATTACGATATCAATGGTTTGAGTTCATGTTCATTTCACTTCTAACAATAAAGACGTTTAATCTCAGAATGTATATCCTTTGATGTTTAATGTTGATCTTTGATTTACATTATACTGTCTCAGGATGTACCTTCCAGGATTAAATGGACAAGGCTGCAGATATACACCCCTGAGGTACACCTACGTATCAAAGGGTTGCTATAGAATTGAACATGATACGATGACTATTAATATCGTCGGGAATAGAAGATTTTCCGGACGCGTTTTATTCGGAAAATCTACTGGAAATAACTGATATTATGGAGAAGTGGAAAGAAATGATTGAACACATGGGATAGGGAGTGAACGAGAATTGAGCTGCTTCAAAAGGTGAGTGTTTCGATTTAAATTTATGTTTCTGTAAACAAATTATCTCAAGGGCGGATCCATTAGGGTGGGGACAGAGAGATTACGTACAGCATTTCCAAAGTCTACAAAACGTCATCAAGCATTTAAACTTAGTAAATAGGACTTAAAGAGCAAAAAAGGTTTTCTAGTAATTTCTACATATCTCTTATTGTTTCTGTTTTGGATTGAGGTGCTAAAACAAATGTCCTCTAGTAGTTTCTACATAGGTTGTGTTAATATTTAGATTGAGGAGCTAAAAAAAATCCACGTCGCGTCAAAATTGTTATTAACAAAATTTGAAAATTAATTTCGAGGATTTTAGATAAAATAACTATTTTAAAAATATTTTCTCATCCTGGATTTGAACACAGAACTTTTCGCAAGAATCCTGCACTAACAAAACAAACAACTTTTTTTCTTTAATACTGATAATTAGATTGGTTTAGGGTTAATAAAATTTACGATTTATTTATGGGTAATACTTCAAATTTACATTTTTTCTTGCTAAACACACTCTATTTTATTCCTTTTTGTGTAGTGTTGAAGCAGTAGCAACATGTAACAGGTATAGTTTGTGATTCTAAAAATTAAAATTGTAGAAATAAAATTCGATTTATACTCTCTCATGTAGGTATTTTATTTGTTAGTTTTAGATAACATTTTTATAGGAATTTTTCCTATTTTTTTTTAACAAAAAAAAATGTATAATATAACAATAATTACAGAGTGAAAAACTACAATTTAGAAAAACTAAGATAATAATAATTCGGCTGGCTTACATTTTTATAAAATCTAGACAAATTGCGACAAATCGACTACATTAAAATATAAATGTTTCATACGTCTAATAAAAAACGAATAAAACATAGTTATAGAACATTGAATTATAGTCGTCACGGAATTTGGCAAAATTGTGTTAAATCACCAGTTTAAAGGTTTATAATTAATAATAGTAGTAATAGCGATACTAGTAGTACTAGTAGTAATGTCATTTTCTGGTTGAAACTATTATAGTCGGAGGTGATTTCCAGGAAAACACGCAATTTGTTTTGCAGTGTGAGAACAATATAAATCAAACGTTGTTGTAAAAACTCATTCATTCGTAAAATTTCGCACACACCATCCCCACTAAATTTAGTGGGCGTCTCGCTTGCGATACCTTGCAAATAAACAAATGTTAATTCATGAATAAATGGATTAGTATATAGTTTTTCGTCGTGGTATATAACATCTTAACACATGTTGGTTTAATGTAATTGCCGCTTATTTACGGACATGCGCAGAAAAATATGAAGTCCACATACAAAATGAGCTATCACTACTTTAATATTACTTATAAGTAATTGGGTCTGATAAATGTGATAAAAGAAAGAATGAAAATATTATTATAGAGTTTGCAAGTCACTACAAGATTAAGAAAGAAGAGGAGACACAAGGATATGAAGCTCGAATAAAACGTTTACTAATATGTAGAACAAAGAACAAGAAAAAACCATGTTACAAATAAACCAGATGAACAAGGACCAGAGAATAGAAACAATGGGTAGTTATGCCGGAGAGGCTAGCTGCGAGTTTAGTGTGCATCCACATACTCGCAACAGTTAAGCAGTGATTCTCCGGTCACGTCGTGGATGGGCGACCGCTGGGAGGATCCACCATGGGCCGTGTCACTATAGGACTCATCCGACTAGCGGTTAACCACCGACGACGTGGAATGAATGACGATGAATCAGGGAGTGAATTGTTGAATGAGAAAATAGTAGGATCTTCAAATGGTGGTACAATAAGCCGCAGGCTGCAGTGCTGCCAGGCTATAGACGGATTAGGGTGTAGCACGGGAGATCCGAAGGGTGTAAAACTAAAAAAAAAAAGAAGAGGAAATGAAGAAGAAAAAAAAATGTTAACATATATATCAGAAACCTCAAAAGCTTTACAGAATGTTTACTTTTGATTATTAAAATAATTAAAAGCATGCTTATCCATATGATTTTAATAAAACATGAGAAAATATGAAATTATAGATTAAAGAAGCAAAGTATAAATAGACAGGGTGTTCCTAAACGTCAGTATTGACAGAGGTAATTCATTTGTATTTTTATCAGTAGAATTTTATATAAACATGTGTTCAAAATTGCTTCTTTTTAATAATTTTTTAAAAGATTGCCTTTCGGAACGCCACTGCTTTTAATAATTATCAGGTTTAGATTGTCCTTTTAATACAGCAAACAAATCTGCAATAAAAACCGATTTGTTTTTGTTTCAATTTAGAGCACCATAAAAAATAAGCAATTCAATATTGACATGACATTTAGGAACAGCCTGTATAATATTATAGTTTTTTTAAATGTAAGCAGGTATGTCTTTCACCCTGTTATTATAAAATTGATAAGAATCAGTTCATTATCGTATAAATCGTATATCGTATGATTAGAAGATTTTTAACTATACAGGGTGTCCCAATGAAATGTAGAACATTTCCAGAACGTATAACTTTTAAACACCTAATCGTAGAAACGTGCGGGTTTTGCTGATATGTGTTATTTAGCTATAAGTTTTGCTTCAGTGACACAGAAATGAAGTATTACCTATACGGGGTGTTTTTTAAAAATCTCTTTTAAAGTCACCGTAAAAAGTAATAAGCTCTGGAAATGGGCTAGTTTTCATTGGGACACCCTGTATTATTAACATTGATGATGGTGATAAAGCTCTAGAAAAGGACAGTAATAGTCAGCAAATGAATTTTGAATTGACCAAACCTTTTTTTAAATATATATTTTTAAAGAAGTATACTACTAATAAATTTATTTTTATATAAAGTGTATGATCTGGTCGTAAAAAAAATTGTTTCTTCTCTTCTATCAAATGTCTAGTATTAGTACAATCATCGGCAAGTAGCAAATCAGATAAATAAACGTATAAAAGTAAAAATAAAATTTTTATGTTTAGAAAAAATCGTTTACGTATTTTTCCCATTTCCTATATAAGTAAAAAACAAATAATTACTATTAAATAATATACCACAGCAATACAATACTTTTAAAATTTGAAAATACTAAGTAAAATAATCAGTCTATCCACCGAACTCGAATATATAACCAGATCCAAAACTGTTGGCTTTGCCAGGTTCATCATCGTAATCTTTTTCGTGTAAGGCGTTTGAACTAGGCGTTGGCGAAACTTGTATTGCTGATGGATAAGCTGGTCTAGGATGAGAAGGAAGCTGTACAAGCTGAAATAGAAAAATTTAGATATCAATATTTTTGTTTTCATCACGTGAATGACCAAGGTCAAAACAGACAACTGATATTCCTTATGGTAGTGGCTCAAAACACTGGTGAAATTGCGAAACCTTCCTCCATTCTTATGGGTGAAACTTAACCAAAGAATTTAAATATTTATGACGTTTATTTTTAATTATTCTGATTTGTTCGTTGGATTTTGGTGATTTTGCTTTTGGTTTCTATCATGTTAAGTAATTGTGGTAAAGACAAAAGAGATAGAAGTACAAACTAAATTAATATTGGATGCAAACAGTATCTTCAGGTATTGGCAGAGTGTAGAGAGTGTTTGGAAATGAAAAAGCAGACCTAATATAGCAGATTGAGAAGTGTTTATAATAGTCCGAATTTTAAAGACTATCTCTTTACCTGTTGTTGAGGTCTCTCATACACTTCGGGCTTGTACTGGCCATCGTCTTCTTGTTGTTGCGATCTGTAATTATATTGTGGCTGATAACTTCTTGGCTGATAGTGTGTTTGCGGTTGGTATGCGGATTGTTGTGGTTGATAGGCAGTTTGTGGTTGATAAGCAGATTGGTGCACTGGAGCGGGTAATGGAGCAACCGGTTGAGGGGCTTTCGGCAAATGATCCGCTTCCAATATCCTGAAACCTTCTTTTCCAGCTGTGTATTTCACTGAGATTTTCTTACCGTTTGGATCGATGTAGCTAAAAAGTTTCAAGTAAATTAAGGAATAAAGTTTTGACTCTTGTGAAGAGCTAAAGGATACGCAATAGATCTGTAAAGGTCGAGGTAGGGAAGGACACATGGTCATTAGTCCTAAATGAGGAGCTCAGATAATTTGCCATCAATGGTGAGACCTAGGTACTTCAACTCTGTTACAAACTTTGGTTTTGCTCTGCCCAAACAGTATTGACCAAATACTCTTTTAAATATATAATATATACAATCACCTGTATCCTCCATTTCTTGATCCATCAGGAGATATACTTTCTCCTTGTGCTAATCCATTTTCAGACGTAAATAAATACTTAAAGTTACCATCGTGATTGAGAGCTTGTTTGTGAGAGAGTATTTGAGGGGGAGGTGGTGTTTTTTGATAAGAATAATTGTCTTCTTGGTTATATTCCCCGTTTTGATACTGTTGCTGTTGTTGGCACTGGCATGAGATCAGCAAGCTCAAGGCAAATCCTAATATCTATAAAAGAAACATGAATAAAATACAAATTAAAATACAGTCATTACAAGATACCGGATAATTGCTAGATTAACGCTCAAGAGAAAAATCATGCGTGATGGGAATGTCAAAAGGACCTAAGTCTATATCTTCATTGCTATTGGTTTGATTTATATGGAACAAAGTGTATATCTTCGCTGTTATTGATCGAATTCAAACGGAAAAAACCGTACGATGTAGGAAATACAACATAGATTAAGGTTAAAGAGAAAAATCACGCGTAATGGCAATGTCAAAAGGACCTAAGTCTTTATTTCAGTTAATATTGATCCTATTCAAACAGGAAGAATGGGAGAGTGGGGAAAATTACATGTAAAATAACGTTGACCTAAGTCAATATATCTGCTATTATAAGGCAGAATCAAACAGGGCAAACGGCGCAATGAACTTATTTTTAGATTGATGTTAGATTTAATATTTAATCATGTATTCTTTTAAATTAATTTCCCAAATAGATTAACTATAGGCACATAATATTTGAAAATATTTTATTTTAAATATTTCTAATAAAATTATTTGAAATATTTATTAACTATATTTTGTAAACATGTTTATTTAATTAAATAATAAATATTTTTATATTTTGATGGTGATTACCCCTCTTGATTGTTTTAACGCCCCCCATTTACCTCTGGATCTGCTACCGGCCCCATAGAATGTTTCAGCCAGGGGCGGTTTGCCAGTAAGGGCACTTGGGCACGCGCCTTAGTATAATAAACAAAAAAAAACTTACATTTTTATATTTTCCTCAATGCATATTATTTTATCTAATATTCAGCGCAAACCGCGTTGGCAGGACACTGGACGACCAGGCGTTGAGCGACGTTTCGAGAATTTCGAAATTAAGTGGAAGATGGGCACAGTAAATGTGTGCCTCTGTAGTTTTCTCTTTCATTATGATGCGAAAAATAAGAACAACGACAATATCGCTTAGCTAAGGGAAAAACGAATCCCGGGATTCCTTTCCAGTGTGTGAGCCACTGCCGCTAGTGCCAACGAGCCGCCACTGCTTGAAGACCTAATTGAACTACCTTGTTGTCTTATTATATTTTCTTTTCATTAGTAATCTAACGAATACTGTTTTTTGGGTTAATTCTATTAGTGTTCTTTTTTCTGATGTTTTGAATAAAAATTTTCATACGACCTTATAGGGTAATTTTTCTTTAAGAATTAAATAAAAATATGACTGATAGGCTACTAAATATCGCCATTATTATCGATTAACATAACATGGAAATATTTCTCTTAAATAATTGTTAGTTATGCCACGATTATGTATGTACATACAACATTCATAAATAAACTAAACCTCATTTAAATAATGTATCTAATGGCTGGTGCTCTATGTGATTTTAAATACCTTTATATACAACGAATACATAAAATTATGTATATATATGGAAAATCATGTAATAATTCGTATTATGGACGCCCATCGATGGGTGGCGTTCCCACTATATTACTATAACTTTCCAATATAGTAATATTGCTTATTGTTCCTATTGTAACAAGACTGTAAAAATAAAGGTTAAAGAAAAAAGTTCAGGGTATATTGCTCCTATTAAATTCTAATTAAAAATTAATTATAAAATTATTAACTAATATTTATAAAGAGCGAAAAAAGTAAGTTTAAAGACAGAGCTACCGAGTCATGACCGTAATAACTACGCACGACTCTAAATTAACTGCTAACACATGAATTTTTGTATTTGTAAATGAAGATGGAAATGAGATCAGCATATTTGGCTCTCAGGCGGGAGGCCCGGATTCAAATCTAGGATGGAGACTAATTAAATCTTTTTTTATTTTATTTTTTGAAATAAATTAGTTATTTTATCTTAATAACCTAATTTTAAAATTTGTAGATTTTCGTTAGGGGATCGCAGAAACTACTATTAGATATTTCCTTTTGAACTCCGACATTCTTAGATTTTATAAAAAAGTATTAGTTTTTTAATAATAAAGAAAAAACGAGAATTTCCAAAAATATTTTCACATAGACCATTCACAATTATTTTTAAAACAAAATTATACAAGTTTTCTCCCATTTGTGGGTTTATCCGAGGTTCAAATGTTTTTTTAACTACATTTTTAATTTTTCATAAGTTAAAATTTCAGAAATAAAAATCTATTATACAAGAATCTACGGTAGGTAGTACAAAATTTGAAGGAATTAACAATAGTCAGAGGTCACTAAATATTTTTTAAAAAATAATAAATATATGTTTAATATTTTAAAAAATGTTTTAAATAAGTATTTATTAAAATTTTAGAAATTAATTGTTTTTCAAATACATTTTTTAAATTATTTTACACAAGTTAGATTTAGGGAAGTGGATACAGATCCTTCTATTTAATAATAATGACAAAATGGCATGATTTTTTAAAATTGAAATTTTCAGAACTTAGGAATTTTATTTCTATTTGAATCAGCCTTAATTTGTTTTGAAAATGAAAGAAAATTTAAAAAAAAATCAACTATAATGTTTAATCGGCACTCCAAAATATTTTTTAGATTTTGTTAATAAAAAAAAATGAAAATTTTCCCAAAATATTTAAAAAAAAGTATTTATATTCCTTCCACAGCATCTAGGGCTGTAATAATTAAAATGTAGGTACTCACCGATACGTAATTCATTATTATCCTATTTGTTTTGTTCGTACTATCACAAATCACAATGAGTATATTTGAAATGCAACACAGGGCTTTATAGATTGGTGGGTGGGTATACTGACCACAGTCCGTGCACTTGTATCTGTAAATAAATATGGGAGAAAGTGTCTCAGTGCTATATACATTTTTCACACGTCTGTATTATGTAAAACTAAACTTACTTTCTTGGTCTAAATATGCATTATTTGTAAATTAAAAAAATCTAACACAATGTTTACGAAAATATTTAGTTGCATAAAGTCAGAGGAGGTGATGTAGAACATGTCCAAAAAACGGATTTATTGATCAATATTTGATCATAATTATTATAACACAAATACGCAGATATTCTCATTAGCGTGCACAAAAAGTATTGCGCTTAAAAAAGTTGTACACGTTTTTTTGATACAGATATTTGAGAAAAAAATGTTTTATTTCATAATAATAACATAATAACTTTTTCCTTTCCTTTTATTTTTATTAGCGAGAGCCAGGGCTCCCACAAGGACTAGAGCCACCCGTGTGCCATTCCATATTTTGGCGCCCCTAGTTAGGGTTAGTAATTAAAAAAAAAAAACACAAATTTTCGCAAGAAATTTAATTGCTGCTTTTTATATAAAAATTACTTAGACAAATTAATAAAAAAAGCTAAATGCAATTACTATAAGAACCAAATAAATAAAAACAGAAATACTCCAAAAAATCTATGGAATGTAGTCAAAAACATTTGTGTAAGTGGCAGAAAGAAAGATCCCAAAAAAATAATCACAAACAATGTAATCTGTAATACCCCCGCGAGTATCGCAGAAGCTTTTAATGAGTTTTTTAATTAATGTTTGTTAAATCATATGCAAAACAATTTATAAAGCCTAATACACCACCACCACTTAGAGAAAAAAATAAAAATTCATTATTTTTATTACCTGTGAATGAAAAAGAAATAATAACAATAATTAAATCACTAAAACTTAAACAATCTCCAGAACATGATAATATAAAATCAGAAGTACTTAAAAAAACCTCAGATATAATATCAAAACCTATAAGTCATATCAGTGGTCCTCTAGAGACAAGGCGGTGGCTCTAACAGTTGCCTTACGAGGTGATGCCCTTGATGTCCTGCAGACCCTCCATACCGACGAGTCCGAAGATCGACCAACTGGTGAAGCGCCTGGAGATGAGGTACAAGCAAGCATATCTAGAGAAAGTCTACCAGTCTCGGCTCAAGAACAGGAGACAGAAAGCAGGTGAGTCCATCCAGGAGTTTGAGGCCGAGGTTGCGAGAACGGTGCGCTTTGCCTATCCATCAGCCAATGAAAGCATTTTGGAATGTCTAGCTGTCCAGGCATTCATCGGCGGCTTAAGAGACCAAGAGTTGCAGAGAGCGCTGCGCTTAGCCCGTGCCAAAGTCCTGGTGGATGCATTGTCAACGGCATTGGAGTTTGAAGCAGCAACTGAAGCGTTCCGTGCCCACGGCCGAGTCAGAAGCGTCACCAGCCAGTCCAGAGAAGAGCTGCGTCAAACGGAGCCGAGTCAAGAAACTCTACAAGAGCTGGTGAACCTGATGAAGACAATGGCGTCGAGAAGGAGGGGACCCGTACGATGTTGGAACTGCGGTGAACTTGGACTCGTTAGAAATGCATGCCAACGTCGCGGGAAAACATTCCAAGATGACCGACCACGAACAGCAGGAAAACTAGAACGGGTCAACTTCAAGAGGGCGACATCGACCCCAAGCAGCCTGCAAGACCCTCTACTCGTCCTGACTTCAGTGAAACACCGACCCAACAGCATCTCCGTAGATGGTAAGAGGTATTCAATGTTGGTGGATACCGGAGCAACGAAGACCATCATTCGCTGAAGGGTCGTCAAGAAAAAGAAGTTGTCTCCCATCAGATGGCGACTACGAACCGCTACAGGGGAAGCAGCAAAGGTCCACGGCGAGGTAGACGTAAGAATTTTGTTTGGCTCTACCCAAGTTTCACACCCAGCCTTAGTAGCCGACTTTGAAGAAGACGTCATCCTAGGAATGGATATCATGGATTCCTATGGCTTTCAACTAGATCTGAAACATCGAGTTATCTACATCGGTTTTGAGGAATTAATTTTACATCAGCGCGAAACAGCCATCGCGGAGGTGATGCTAGCTGAGGATGTCGAACTACCAGCAAGGTGTGAATCCATAGTCTTCAATTTTGTAATATTTAATTTGTTTTGAAATATATTTAATTTTCATGAAGCGGAGAATTGTTTTCCTAAGGGAAAAACGAATCCCGGGATTCCTTTCCAGTGTATGCCCGACTGCCGCTAGTGCCCACGAGCCGCCACTGATTACTGTCCGTAATTATATTCTTGTAAAATAATGTACTTATTCACTTAATTTTTCACATATCTTTATTCTACTATCGGCTTTCGGTCTTTCGTTTTTTTACGCTTAGAGTTTACCCTTATGGGCCTCAGGAACCATCAATTTAGAGTCTCTCGAATTTTAAATGTCTATGTATTTTCTATTTGATATAGCAAATAATAAATAAATATAGAGGTAGCCTCATATATGAAAAACATAGCCTAGTGCGGCAATTAACGTGTTAAAACAGTGTTTTGATATACCTAATTATATTTTTTTGCGATATTATTTTCTAACTGCATTCTTTTAATGCCTACGCTGCATTGGCTATGCAAAGTATCTTCAAGTTTGAAATTGAAATGCCATACGTGGGTTACGCTTATGGATATTATTAAGATTTACAATAGCCATTCAGGTGTAAGGAGAACAAATGCCGTTTCAATAATAATTACGTAACTAAAGTAGAGCAGAAGTTTGATAAGTGATTGTTTTATTTAAATACGATAGGAACAAGGTAAATTAAAAGATTTAAAAAAAAATCATCATCCAAAAACTGAGTTGATATCTATTACTTTTTAAGATCGAGCTAAACGTGAATTTTAAAATGTATGACAGAACATTTCAAAATTTCACTTGATATTACAGAAATTTACACCTACTAGATCCAATTTGATAAACGCAGTGTGAACATTAATGTGTTGATTGATATTCAAGTCATATATGTAGTAACACCAGAGTATACACTAATTAGTAACCAACAAGGTGTACCATTATGTTATAGTCAAATATCTTCGAAATGTGCAATAATACTGCTTTTCTAAAATTAACTATATCATTGGCACAAACAAAGAAAATTGGCCTAACAAAAATACATTGTCTGTAATAATTTATACATTTTTATTCAGCTCACCTTTATTGTTTTTAAATAGCGTAGGTACTTATTATAATACATAATACAACGAGTGGTATCGGGACTATCTATAATCGCATTAATTCAGCATTGCAGAATTTAGGTTTCCCACCACACAGCTGTTTCGTAACAGACAAATAAATGTGTCTTTACTCTAACTTCGTTGCTTCCTTGTATGGTTCTAGATAAAAATTGATCTATTCCATACCCTCTAAATTCTAATATCTTTTTTTACAATCTACCTACCCTTTTCAAACTACTGCTACTTTCTACTTTCTTTCAAGTCTCTGATTTAGAGTTGTTCTAGTATCATAGCCTGTCGACATATACCAAAGGCGTTGCAAAAGGGGAAAGTCATATACCTTCCTAAAGTAGGAAGGTTTAATGATATGACACCAAAGTCGTACCGCTCAATCAGTCTATCATCATTCATTCTGAAAACGCTAGAAAGACTAATAGATAGATATATACGATATATCAGTCAGGCAAGTCAACCGATTTGTCCCTGAATGATCTCAACAGCCTATTGTCAAAATCCCTGGAGGATAAAGAAATGGCAGTAGTAACTTTTGTAGATATTGAGGGAGCTTTTAGTAATGCCCAAACAAGTTCTAGGATTAACGCCCTAACAACGAAAGAGGTACGGTAGTCCTATGTCAGTGGATAAAAGCCAGCCTAGAAGAAAGGTTAATAATATCATCTCTAGGCGAAGCTACACTGACAGCTAAAGCGTGCAGGGGTTGTCCCCAGGGAGGAGTACTATCACCCTTTCTCTGGTCAGTCCTAGTGAACGAACTTATAAAAGGGCTAATATCTGCATATTTCTACTGCCTAGGGAATGCCGATGACCTGGCAAGTTCGCAGGTACAATATCGAAGCGCACACAAACTGCTCTAAACATTGTTGACCAGAGGAGGAACTAACAGTAAACCCTCACAAAACCACAATAGTCAACTTTACAAAACGAAAAGTACCAACAGGACTAAAGTCACCGGTACTGAAAGGAGAAGAGATTACATTTGCTTAGGAGTCATCTTTGACCACAGGTTAATATAAAATCAACACTTGCAAAAAGTCACCCAAAAGAGCACAACATCCTTCAACTTATGTCGAAGGTTGTGTGGAAAAAATTGGGGACTACAACCGAAAATGTCCCTATGGTTATATAACAGAGTCATAAGACCGATGAAAACCTACGAGTCGGTGGTATGTTGGCCAGATGGCCAAAGACTCTGCAAGCTGGAGCCATTCAAAGGCAAGCATGTCTGAGTACCACAGGAGCTATGAGAACCACTCCAACAGCAGCTATAGAAGTCATGCCAAACTTCATTCAAAGCGAAGCTAGGTCTTTCACATAGGTTCATCACCCATAAGCAGTTTGCATGGACGAGACCACAGCGAGCTATATAAAAAGTTGGAGAACGACCAAATAATGGAAATGCCTTCAGATGGAATGCTCCCAAAGGATAGCTTTCAAAAGCAATATAAAGTAAGTATACCAGACAGGGAAGCGTAGACGGGAGGACCTCCTATTCATGCAGAATTCACCTGGTATACAGACGGCTCCAAAACCAAAGCCAAAGATAAAAATCTCACTGAGCTTAGGTAAACATGCGACAGTATTCCAGGCAGAAATAGCATCACTGCGCAAAAGAGGTATTAAGATAGAAGGTCATATACTTAGACAATCAAACGACGTTAGAAGCACTCAGTTCCATGCAGGTATCCTCAAAGCTTGTGTGGGATTGTTCGGAAGCCCTAACAGAGCTGGGTAGTCAAAATAGATTAACCTTAGCTTGGGTGCCAAGTTACAGAGGATATAAGGGCAATAAAGAAACTGATTTACTAGCCCTAGAAGGAGCCTCAAATGCTCTTATTGGCCCAGAACCCTTCTGTGGTGTAACAAAAACAACTATCAGAACATGCACAAAGCAGTGGATGTTTAAAAAATCTCAGGAGTGGTGGAAAAACTCACCAGGACATATACAGGCCAAAGAGTTCTTAAAAGGACCATCGCCTAAACTCACCGAGCATTTACTAAGCCTTAATAGGAAAAATACTAGAGTACTAGTAGGTCTAACAAGATCGAGATTCTTTACACTTGGAGAAGAAATACCAAGGGCAACTAGCTATACCGGAGAACGGACGAATTTTCGGGGGAGGGGGGCATTGCCTTTAGCCATTCCCTTTTTAGCATAGTTTTTTAAATAAAAGGCCCATAAATCGTAAGAATATTAATGTCGGGGGGGCATGGCCCCCATAGCCCCCTAGAGCCGCCCTTGCATGGCCCACAGTCCTAATTAAATCAAATCTAATCAGAAGCCCTTTCTTAGTTTAACGTGGTCTGTAATTTCCAACTTAACTATATTTTGAGATCTTTATTATGGATCATAACCTCAGACCCCAAAATATACCCTTCAACATTTACTTTCTCGTTTGATTTTGCAAAGGAGGGGCCATTTCCCATCAGTAATCTTAGCAGATTTATTCGTTAATTTGAGCAAAAACGTTTTATAATGATAAATTCCAAGTGTTTTACTCACTGGCAATAATTTTGTAATATTAAGGAATGCTTCTGGTACAATAACTGAGATGTAGTTTTTTTTTGAGCAATTTTTGAGCTATTACTTAAATTTGAAAACTTTGTTTCAACTATAATAATTATTGCCACAGTTCTCAGGAAATATAAATTGGGTACAATTCCCTTAGGAGTTAAATAATTAATCCCTTTTCTATATTTATATATTTTTGTACGTTGGTACCGCCATACTTACCAAATTCATTGATATTGATAGTGCCCAGTCAAGATAACAAACTTGTCCTCGCTAGACGTTACAAGAGGTTATTCTTTACTTGAGTCCCCTGGGAAATGAGCAGAGTAGAAGACTTCTATTCTAAAATTAATTCCCTACTTGCATGGAGAACGAAAATAAGGGTTTCTAAAATTATCACTTTCCCCTCTTAGATTGAAATGAAAGCGTTGTACAAATATTTCGATTAATTTCATACTTCAAACAAAAATATTACGAAATTCCTTTGAAGGATATTGATGAAACAATTGTGTTTTCTTTATTCATAATACAACCTACAAATATTTTCACAAAAACTAACCTTTCAACATTAAATCAACAAGGAAAATATCGGATACTTAATAGTGCGTGAACCATGCAATTTAGTTAATTGTTTCTTAAGCCGCTTCTAAACCATTTCTAATTTGCGAATTACGCTGTGCGGTATTATTAAAATTAATTTAATGTATGTATTTTTATACTAGCATGAGCGTTTAATTGATTCACGTTTTTTGCTTCGAATTGGAAGAAGATCGGAATATTATTTTTTTGAGATTAGACAGATAATATATGGAAATGTAACAAAAAGTAGTCAAGGAGTGAATAATCGTTTTAATGCGCCATATTTTACGTTTTAGCCGTTGTGTTGCATTGTTTAAAGTTGTTTTTCTCCTAATTTTCCTTTTTTTTTTCTGAGTCAAGATTTCTGATCTCTTTTGGATGATTATTACCTTACACTCTGCATTTAATCTCAGGAGAGTTTATCTACACTGCTTTTAACAAATAATTCAACTTATTGGTCCAATTGTTCCTCAGTTGTTAATGGAATTGAGAGATCAATTAGTTCTTCTAGGTTGATTTTGAAACTTTTCCAGTGTGTCTTTGTTGACTAGTTTAGGTAAATTTTTGTTCTAAATTCATGTCTAATGATTCTTCTATAAGCATTTATTTTGAGGCGATATTCTTTATTATAAAAAAATCTTTGAGATCGGAAATTTTGTTTGAATCTGTGGACTAGTATGTAGGCTTTCTAGTTGACATTGTCTATGTTGTTATAAGTAATGCTTTCCTTTTACCTTTTATTAAGTTCAAGTCTAGTTATTGACGATCTAAGATAAATGTAATGTCAAATGTCAGATATCAAAAGAGACGAAGAAGGTTGTTGTGTGTCTCTGACAGTGTTGCCAGTTTGTTAGAATTGTAACAAATCTATTATATTTTTGAAGGGTTAATTACATTATTACAGCTTTGTCCCAGCATCTCACAAAACCGTAATATTACGGTCATCGTCATGCGCAGTAAATAAAAACCTATCAATAAAGCCCAAAGTCGAACGGTTTTTATTTACTGCGCATGACGATGACTGTAATATTACGGTTTTGTGAGATGTTGGGACAAAGCTTACATGTCCAATAAATCTATTACATTTTCACGATTGATGAACTTGAACCTAACATAAACCTAACCCTTGATTTTCTATGTTCCTAATGTATTGTTTATTATTTCATACAACTAATACCATCTTATTTGGTTAAGTTCATCCCAAACATATTTTCTTGAACATGCCCAAAGCGCTTAAAAAGTTTGTTATATCATTGGACCTTGCATTGGAGACAGAATTTCTTTTTTCTTCGTTTTCTTTACAAAAGGTTTGTTTCAACCCCAGTACAGAACCGTTCTGAATTTATCTGCGACAAGTTAGAAGTTTATACTTTTTAAATTTGAATTTTGAGACTACAAATCAACCTAAATTTGAAATCTAAACAAAGGATACATTGACAAACTTGGCTTCACAGAAAACTTACTTTCCGGCACAGAACGAACACCTCATTCACATCTCATTTTAAATCGAGATGTAAAAATGTAATCTGGGGTGCTATTTTCAAAGTCGAGAGAATTCATTTCTCTCGAGAGAAATGTCATACGTCAACGTAAATCAGTATTTTTAGGGTCCTAAGGGCCAGTGTAAACTCACTGATTGTTTCTCACGGTTTATTTAGAGATAATTAATATCCTCCTAAGAATTTTAATCCTCGAGGCCTTTAAAAACAGCGTTTCCACATTGACGTATGACATTTCTGATGAGAATCTTGAGAGAAATGAGTACTCGCACGGTTTGAAAATAGGTCCCCAGGGGGCTATTTTCAAAGTATGGGAGCACTCATTTCTCTCAAGATTCTCATCAGAAATGTCATACGTCATTGTGGAAATGTTGTTTTTAAAGGCATCGAGGATTAAAATTCTTAGGAAGATTTTAATTCTCTCTAAATAAACCGAGAGAAACAGTCAGTGAATTCACACTGGCCCTAAAAGCCCTAAAAATACGGTTTTATGTTGACGTATGACATTTCTCTTGAGAGAAATGAATTCTCTCGAGTTTGAAAATAGCCCCCCCAGATGAATCCGATGTGAATTCTCAAACGCAGCAATAGAATCTATTTTTTATATATAGTTCATTAGAACTGAATAGGTTCTTTCGTTCGTCCCACTGGTGTAGGAATGAACTACACCAACGTACACTAAACCTTTCGTTCGGCCCGGTGTAAAATCCACTAAACCTTCCTGTCGGCGATGTGGTGTCCACTGGTGGATATTTTCTCCACCAGCTATTTAGCAGGAGTGAATTACACTCGAAATGTGTATAAGGAATAAGGAGGGAAGTAAACTAAGGTAAATAAGGTGGTGTAACTGGTGTAATTTACACTGGTAGACACTGCACCAACAGCGAACGAAAGAACCTATTGACTACCAGTGGGTTTTGACAGGTTATGATGTGGCAAAGTTATGGCAACTCTGTAGGCCGGGTGATTTGACAAGATGAGTGAAATAGATAGTTACATAGATCGATCATCCCTATTTTTTAAAATAAACATAAGCTTATGCCTTGAAGTAAAAATATAAGCAATTATTATTTTTTGAATATCTAAAGTCTGAAAATTGGTTTTAAAACACATTTTTGCTAAACTGATTCAAATTAATAAATATTTGCCAGGCAATATGGCTGCTCGCAAACGACCAGCTTTGAGCAATGTATATAAGATATATGTATCATTGACCCTGTTAATGACAACATGACAACAGGGTTGCCATATCTAAACTGTCAGTATCCACTGGTAGCCATTTGGACAGGTCGTTGGAATGTCTAATTTTAAGTTGACTAAAATTTCTATTACATTTTCTTGAAATTTATTACAATTTTGAGAGTTCATCTATTACATTCCTTCAGAGTACTCTGGCAACACTGGTCTCTGATGTAGATGATAAAGAATGGTTGTCTCTGGTATTAATAATAATTAGAACGCTGTTTGCATATTCATTGTCTTTATTAAATAAACGTTGATCTACTGCGTATTAATATATTGAACAACAATTACAACAGTCTGACAAGTATTCTTATAAATGGAAGAAAAAAAAAACAAATGTTTTTTACTTATGGAGTTATTTTATTTTAATATTGCACCAGAGATTGGATATGAACATCAAACATTTATTTACCACCTAGAACAGATTTAACAATGATCTTAATAGATGTCGATCATAAAATAACTAGCATGCAACAACAAGCTACCTACGTTTAAACCAGGTACCTAACATTGGCCCTAATGTTTAGTAAAAATAGTGATGAGGCAACATGCCGTCGCAACATTGCCCATTTTTTTCGGACCCTCACCAGCTTCGAAACAAAAAATTATTACAATTTTTTTTGTTATTTAGGTTGGGACAGAGATTATTGTCTTCTAGCAATAATCTTTCTGAGTTTCACATCAGATTATGATATTTGAGAAGACGATTTATTTCAATCGTCATTATACATAAAACACAACAGATATAGCTGAGTGGTTATATGTTTATTATTTATAATAATAAGCAACACTAAGGTCCCCTTACTGCATACCAGATAGCCCATATAGATTTTTGATTGGCTCAGCAATTCTCGTAGAATGATATTTTTTTCTCTACTGATACTGTTTTACGTCTAATTTTTTACTAAGTTTAATAGTTATATAGACATTAATGAATATACTTTATAATGTACTTGGCAATCATTTTTCGGGCCTCGATAGGAGAACTGTTTAATTTAATTTTTAAATGTCATTTTAATCCCGAATAGTCAAAGGCGCCTTATTGCCCCGTTTCCGAAAATTACAAGGAAAGGATTACGTGCAGCCATTCACGATAATCCAAAACGGAGACCCTTGTAAATCAATTTTGAAAATATTTGCGCGTACTCCTATCATTTATGCGAAAACACAAAGTGAACAACCTAAAAGAACAAATTACGAAACAGAAAAAAATGTTGTTGAATGTTGAAGTTAGAAACATATTACAATGTTTTTTTATCAATTTCTTAATTAATCTCTTTTTTGTACAATGTTGCTAACATTATATTGTGATTTTTTACAATAATTAACTACTCTTTATATATTAAACATTTTCCAGCTACTCATCATCGTCATCATTCTGGTATGTCACATATCTTACGGATGATGATTTTTCTTCCATTAACAGCGACTGAAAAATAGAAAAATGTATTATTTAAACTATTACTATATTATTCACAAACAAGAATGCAAATACCTTAGACTATACTACGGTTTTTTAATATGGTCTAGCAAAATTTTATATATGACAGATGATATACATGTTATGCGTTCTCTCTCTTTCCCAACCACACAGCCGCACTGGGCAAAAAGCCGAAAAATGAGAAAGCCACTTGCGCAAATTGCAAGGGGGACCATCCTGCGAGCTATCGAGGATATCCGAAAGCACCGAAAATGGGTGTCAGTAGGCCCCCTAAGACCGTACAACCCCGTACCTTTAATTCTAAACCAACGACGGCCGGCTATTCGCAGCAAACAGCCGGAAACGCGCCGCAGTCTAATAATAATCAAAATCAAATCGATATGATCGCACAGATGCAAAAGCAAATTCAGTCGCAGATGCAGCAAATGTTTACCAACTTTGCAAATAATATGATGAAAACCTTCCAAATGATGCTAGTTTGAGGATTGGGTCCTGGAATCCAGGTGTAATCAGACCCAACATAAATTTCCTAGGTGAACTAATGGAAAGGGAGAACCTGGACATAGTTGCAATACAGGAAACAAAAATTACGGATACATATAACCTGCGATGACCTGGTTATAGTGTATATAGGAAGGACCATCAAGCAATGTCTGGTGGCACTGCGATACTAATCAAACAGGAAATAGACCATCCCTCTATTCCAACCCCTGCTGCATTACAAACAATGGAAGTTAGAACATTGCACGGAGTTCTAAGAATAGTTTCGGCCTACGTTCGACCTAATGCAGTCCTACACGGTGGTGATATGCCTCAGGGGGAAGCAGGAATAATCGGAGATTTAAACGCTAAATTCCCAATTTGGCATAGCAGACTTCGCAACACCAGAGGTAGAGTGTTAGAAACAATCATGGCAAACGACCCTAGATGCTCGGTACTAGGTCTCGAGGAACCTACCCACTACCCTGACAACGGAGGGTTACCAGACGTTATCGACATTGCCGTGCTAAGAGAGTACGATTTCCAACAGGAAATGTACTCTCTGCATGAATGAGCAGGTGGACATAACCCGATCCTACTCATACTAGGTGACGGAGATGGCATCAACGCGCCAAGAACAGTGTCAAAAACAAATTGGACAAAATTCAAACGAATTTTGGCAGGCAATCTAGGATCAATCACAAGGATTGAGTCCTGCGAGGAAGTAGATGGAACATTCGAGCATCTAGAAACAGTCACGCAACAGGCATTGCGAGATACCTCGAAGTGCAACTGGACCAAGGACTAACATTCACCGAATACGTGACAAAAATAACGACAAGAGCTACCGCGGTTAGGAGTAACCTCTACAGTGTCATAGGATGACGTAGTAAGTTACTAACCAAGACCAAAGTGTGATCAATGAACTGGAGTGGGGTAGAAAGCTAATGTGCATATTTTATCAATTGAACAAGATGCGACTCTATGGGCGCAGCCATTTTTATTTCTCATCTCACTCGGGAGTATTTATAATAACCATTTTCTGTTTCACATTGTTATTGTTTAATCCACAGGCTGGTGGATCAGACAATAACAAAGTGAAATAGAAAATGGTAGTTATAAATACACACGTTGCACACTGTTAGCTCATCTGGTCACCGTCAGAGGGCCCTCACTGAGCAACGGACAACAACGCACCTCCAAACCGCGAATGCATAAGAGTTTTAGGACTCTTATTAAATGACGATAAGCCTTCAACCTTCACCGCTCAACCGAAGGTATGGGGTGCCAATCAAATGCTATTGACATGAGAACCAAGCAGCGGATGAAAAGGCTTGGGGGTGGATGGAAAGGTTTAGTAGGTTTCAATCCAGTTTAACAGGATGGGAATTTATTCGACTCGGGCCTATTACTGCGTGCGTCTCTTTTTCCTTGTCTAAGGTTTATATTGGAGCGATGACAGATGTCAGTATTCCACTACACATTCCTGAAATTCCTCCACTGTCTATTATTTTAAAACCGTAGTATAGCATTGTTGACACATAATATTTTTCCATTTAAATTACGTAAATATAAATGGACTTTACTCACTCGTTTTTCTTCTTTAGTTGGTGGACTCTTCAAACAATACAGTAACGGAGCATACATGAAATTCAAAATGGCTATTCCAAATAGCATCCATTCAAAACCAATTGTCTTAACTAACGTTCCGCTCATCGCAGGACCTACAATTTAAAACAAAAATAAAATTCAAGATTAATACCATAAGGTACCAACAAAAAAATTGTCGTAAAATGCGGTGCATTAGTCATGACGAAAAAATAAGCCAAACAAACAGACAAAATATCTTGTTTTTTTACTGTAGGTAAAAAAGTCTTAAAATATAATAAGTTAGTCATTTTATTCACATATAGTCATTTTATAATCGTTTTATAGTTATTTTATAGTCATTTTATAGTCATTTTATAGTCATTTTGTAGTCATTTTATAGTCATTTTATAGTCTTTATAGTCATTTGATAGTCATTTGATAATTATTTGATAATCATATAGTCATTTTATAGTCATTCTAAAGTAATTTCATAGGTCATTTTATAGTCATTTTATAATCATTTTATAGTCATTTAATCATTTTATTGTAATTTATTGTCATTTTATAGTATTTTCAAGATTGTATTTACTGCTAATTACAATAAAAATAATTTGTTTACATACTTTTAAACTACTTCTTATGACTTAAAACGTTTATATCAAAATTAATGACAGAATGTTTTTGTTTGACTCTCTGACGTAACACTAAAACGAAAGAAATTGTTCAATGCTTTGTCTTATTTCTTTATTTATAAAACATCAAAGCCAAAAGAAAAAGATAAATAAAAAAATTATCCTGTAATAAAAATAAAATATGTGCAGTAGATTGGCTGATAATCTTCTCGTAAAAGATGCACAATGGTTTTAATGAGGCTTAAGTGGAAGTTGGAAAACAGTAACGAAGGTCAAAATATACGTGTTTTTTCATAAAAAATATAACTAAAATAACTACAAGATTATCTGTAATAATCTAAATGCGCACCTGAAAACTAATTCAAAAATAGACTAGAGCACAATACTGCAATTAACGGTATTGCTTTTATTTTTCCCTATTTAGAATAATTTACATCTTGTTGTAAACTAAATTATAATGAGTTTTGTTTACCTACTGAAAATCAATTCATAAAATAAGTAATTTCCTGGTAGGAGATATTACGTAATCATTATTACAATTTAAACTGCATATACCACATAACCTGAACGAGTAAACTAGTCCAAATCGATCAGGAAGCAAAAACTGTAAATCAGTGATAAAACAAACCGAAAAATTCAGCGAAAGCACTGGATTTCAAAGTAGTTCTCCAAATCAGGTTTCATTCATAATACATGAATGTGTACCATATTGGTATTACGTATATGTATTACTTGTAAAATATGGTAAAATGGAATAAATTTTGTGTGATTCAAATGTAATGCCTTCCTTATAGCAAACGTTTATGTTAAATGTTCCTATAATTGAGTTTTCGGAATACAAAATGCCGCTATGTGCGTTATAGCAAAGTTAGAAAATTATTAGATCCGTTATGCAACCTGAAGGGACTTCTTATCGGAGGCGACTAGAAATAAATCTTTCAAAAGTAATCTCCGTCTGGTAGACTAGGCCACGAGCTGCCTGTAACTAGGTCAAATAGCCAACTGTTTTTCTTCCGGTGTGACTACTATAGTCTAGTAACCCTAGGGTAAATGTTTTAGAGGATTTAAAGTCCTACCAAGTGATGAAATAATGGATATTATGTTTGGAACAGCAGAAATAATTGAAAATTTTTAAGACAGATGATGGATGAAAATCGAAATCCATATTAATGTAACAATTTTTCTAGTGGTAACTACCAATTCGTTCATTTTAAATGGGATAGTTTGAAAAGTATTTCAAAGACATATTCAATCATAGCAATGATTGTTATTTTAAATAGTTTTGAAGGTTGTTTCATTTCAAAACGGTAGACAAAATGAATCTGTTGTGCACATATCACTAGTACCAGTAAAAAAAGTACCCCCAAATTTTATTAATGTACGCGTAACTGTTCAAAACATACATTGGACGAAGGGACTTTAAGTGTGTAACAAGAAGTTTTTAATTTCATATACCGGGTGTTCTATTAAGAGAGGTATATTTCAAAACAAATAATAATACTGACTTGTCAAGAGAAATTGCTGGAAGTTATTTTCAAGTTTGTAGGATGACCGGTAGGAGGCGTAGTTGTGACGTTTTATTCAGAAAACTTTGAAGTTTAAAATAGTAATATTTATCAATATACTTTATTTGGTATTTTTTTAGTTAAATTAGATTTTTATGTTTTGAAGTCACAATTATGTCATTTCACAAACTTGAAAATAAACTCCAACAATTTCTCTATTAAAAAAATGTTTTTCGCAAAGATATACTATTATTAGATTCTCCGTTAATGGAACACCCGGTACATTGTAATTCCTGGTTTAGAATTATTCATAAATACGGTTTTCTATGTTTATAAAATAAAGTTATACGAACCGATAGCGAAACCCAAACAAAAAGCAACGTCACCGATGGCATATACGCTTCCATAAACTGCAGTGTGTCGAATGTCCACCAAATAACCCAATTCTGGCATCATGGAGCTGTCGACCATACCGATGGCAAAACCAAGCCCAGCATTTGGAACAATCAAATGGTTGATATTTTTCGCTAAAGGTATCTGAAAATATAATATGGCTATAATGAACATACAAGAATACTTTATGTACATTGAGCCAAATGTAAAAATAATAATAATTTTCTGATTATTTTACTAGTGCAAAAAGATATTCAATTTCTGTTTGGATTATTATTAGTTTTGAAATAAACAAAAATTTTTATGAACAACAATATTTTCTCTTAAAGTTGAAAATAGAACAATTTTCCTCTTTTTCAGTCGGGGACATCCTGTATATCGTATAGCAGTTCTTACAACCTTTATAAATTTATTTTTGCTACTTGGAAAACAATTAAACCAATTAAAGGACATTGTTTAAAATGATCCATTCCAAATAATTTAAAAAAATTAATGTTCAGACAATAGAAAAAAGGAAAACATCAAAATTTAACTTTTCATTAATTTTATTACCCATAAGCCGACTGGCTGGTCCTTTGGCATCATTTGAAAAAGGCATTATTAGCGTCGATCAATCAGTCTGTCATTCGCTGTCTAGAAATAAGTGGAGCGATGCCGGCGTATGTGGCTTTCCGGCATTAAAATTAATTAAAAATAAATCAAAGTCATTACATCCTCAAATAGGTAGATTTTATTTGGAATAATAAAATATCTGATATGTCCAACACATAACTTTTTCTACAAAGTTCTCAAATACAGACTCCAGTGACGGAGATATACTATACCGGGTGTCCCAGATTTTTTTGCCCAGCGGATATCTCGGTTATTTAATGATATAAAATTGTAAAAAAAAATATGAATAATATTTGTCTAGTAGCCTTTTAAATTCCACTACATAAAGTTATATTCATCAATCCACCCCATAGGAACAACCCCTAACTTTTTTTTTTCAAATGTCACCCCTATATTTTTTTTCGCTGATATAAATACTTAATTTGTCCCGAATACAACGATATGATTTTTGATATACTTTACAGAGTCATAAAGCCGGTAAAGACTAAAAACCAATGTTGTGGTTAAAGTCATTAATAATTAGTTTACATTTTATCATTTTATTATATTAAAAAATAACAAATCCAATGAATAGGTAAACCTCTTAATATGTTTTTTAAATAATTGAATATTTACAAAAATTGTTCGAAATGGCCCCCATTACTTGCCAAACATGCTTCAAAACGTCGAATGAGTTCACGAGTACATGACGCTGTAATCATTTCTGGTGTAATGTTATTGCAGGCTTGTACTATTTTATTTTGCAAATCTTCTAAATTCAATGGCTGTGTTTCAAATACCACGGTCTTCAGATATCCCCATAAAAAAAAATCTAGAGGCGATAAATCTGGTGAACGCGCAGGCCACCTCAAAGGGCCGCTGTTTCCGATCCACTGATTTTCAAAGCGTTCGTTTAAAAATTGGGTAACTAAATTACTATTATGTGGAGGAGCTCCATCTTGTTGCCACCACATAGCACCTCTTTCTTGTATTGGAATTTCTTCAAGAAGTTCTGGAAGGTCATTTTCAAGAAAGTGTAAGTACCTAGCACCAGTTAACGTACCTTGAAAAAAATAGGGACCTATCAGTCGTCCCTGAAATAATCCACACCACACATTTACTCCCCAGATGGTCTGAAAGTTAGTTTCCCTAACCCAGTGAGGGTTTTCAGGAGACCAATAATGCATATTGTGACGATTTACAGTAGCATTATTGTGAAACCTTGATTCGTCACTCCACAATATCTGGTTCAAAATGTTGGGATTTCGTTCCATTAAATCTTCAAAATGTGCTATTAATGTTATTCTTCTTTCGAAATCTCCAGCTCTAAGTTCCTGATGCAAATGAATTTTAAACGGATGAAAATTATAGGATTTTAGGATTCTTTGTACTGACGACTTACTAATATGAACCTCGTTAGCTAGGTTTCGCGTCGATATCTGGGGATGTACTTGCACATAAGCTAATACATTAATGCACATTTCTTCAGTTCTTACAGCAGCAGCATGTTGACGATGTTTGTCTTTTCCTGGAAATGACCCTTCTCTCATCCTAGTCTCAACATAAGAATATGTTTTACGTGATGGTTGTCGGCGCTCAGGAAACCTCTGTTGATACAAGTGTACAGCAGCACGAGAATTTTTTTGGCACTCACCAAAAATTAAAAGCATATCAACATATTCGTTTGGAGTGAATGTAAAGGGCATTTTGTCTGTTGTTTATAGCTAGCGAACAATTTCAGAAATGGTCTAAGCATATCGTTAGTTAGTTATAGGTAACAAAAAAAAAAACAAAAACGAAGCAATTCTAATCAAAATAAAAAGAAAATACCAGGTGATACAAAATTAATGACTTTAACCACAACATTGGTTTTTAGTCTTTACCGGCTTTATGACTCTGTAAAGTATATCAAATATCATATCGTTGCATTCGGGACAAATTGAGTATTTACATCAGCGAAAAAAAATATAGGGGTGACATTTGAAAAAAAAAAGTTAGGGGTTGTTCCTATGGGGTGGATTGATGAATATAACTTTATGTAGTGGAATTTAAAAGGCTACTAGACAAATATTATTCATATTTTTTTTTACAATTTTATATCATTAAATAACCGAGATATCCGCTGGGCAAAAAAATCTGGGACACCCGGTATATGTCTGACAAACTAATGAACAGTAAAAATAATAAACAGTTTAAATTTCTCCATTACGGTTACTTTTTTTTGTCTATTATTGACTTTTTTATAAATTTTATTTTACATTTTCTTTCCTAATACCCTGCTATAAGAGTTATCTTCATTTTCTGGTCACTAAACAAAGCATGTATATGACAAAAATTTAGGGAATAACATCACAAACAACTCTAATTCTTCTCTAATCATGTAACCCCCGAGATGTCCCGACTATGTTTAAAATTTTGTGTTTTCCTCTCTATCAGTTTTTAAGTTATCATAATTCGTATATTTCCCTATGACCAGGAAAACAAAAAGAGATGTCATTCATTCAATGCAGAAAAAATATATTACAACCTTTCACAATTAGTGAAACGAAATATATGATGTGTGCAATGTCATAGTATCAATAACAAAATTTTGTAATGGAAATCAATATTAATATTTGGTATGCATGGTAAAAAAGAATCATATTATACTTATTATAAAGTTTCACCTATTCCGTGAATCGTTTACGGTATGTTGGTATGTAGGTTCATCGACATAGATGATCTAATAAATTATAAATTCAGATTTAAGTATTATCGTTAAAAATTATTAAATTAAAATCGAAGAAAAAATGTACTTTTGTTTTTCTTGTTGATATTTTAATATATTTATTAAGAAAATATATATGCCCTACAAAAAGAAATACCTTATTTTCTCTAAATATACAAAAATGTATGCTAAGTTGAAATATCTAAATGAAAATTTAGAAAAATTAATGTAGTTAACACTAACGCTTTCCAAAACTTCACACTTTTTATAGTCTATTCACTGCCAATCTCAATCTTCTTAGTTTAATCACACTATATATAAAATACTTTAAATGTGATGCTTATTTGCAATTAATCAAAGAAGGTTTCCAAAAGTTGCATTTCATCCATTTGTATAAAATCATCATTAAATTTTCCTGGGGTTGTTCTAACACTAAAGTGCATACGGTATATGGTCGAGAACATCGTGATAAAACGGGATCCTTTGGGAATTGGCGAATGGGGGAGTTGACAATAGATTTTACGGTTCCCCTATTTTAATTGAAAATGCTTACTGTATACACGAAAAAAAAATATTCCTAAAATTTAAAACATTTCGAAGCAGCTTTATATTAAAATTAATGAATTTTCCAAAAACATTGCAAGAAAAGTCTGTGATATATTTTCATAATTTTTTCTAAAAAAGATAGATTATCCATTGTATAGTCAAAATTATTTAACAAAAATCAAAATTGATACACACAAATTCTAGTTCTGATCTCCAAGGTGATCATCAGAATTGAAAAGAAAACTACATATTTTTGACAAATAAGATTGCTTGCAACTTAAAATCAGTTTTAGAGATGAAGGAAACGCAGAAAACATCAAATTACAACTGGTAAAACATTATATCATCATACATAGCTTTAAGGACTGACAATAATGGGTAAATTTTTCGCAGTAACATAGCCCAAAAAAAGAAAAGAAGAAGAAGGACTGACAATGTCAAAAGTCCATAGCGTGAAAAGCAGTCCTATTAAGTGAGAAATTGCTTAATAAACCTGAATGCAGCAAACCAAATGCAGCAAACCAAATTCACACGAACTGGAACTCTCAAAAAAGAGTCTTCAGTCAAGTTCCAAGTGTAATATACAGGGTGTTATTGAAATATACGTACATATTAAAATGGGGGAATAGTATGTAATGACCAAAAACGATTGGCACCAATTTTAACTTCAAATTCTAAAATTTAAATATTGGGGAAGAGTCCCCTTTTCCGACCTACTAGTTTCCATATTTAAAGAAGTAAAATAAATCGAAATTGAACTTACCCATAGAAATTGCACTGTTGCCGTAACAAAACCAATTAATTCAAAATAAAGTTTATTACAGTAATTGTTCAAAATGCCGTCCATTATTATTTACACACACTTGCAATCGTCTTTCCAAAGAACTTTGAACATTAGAAATTAGTCTTGGATTTTGTCGTAGTTCCTCGGCTACCGCATTAACTTTATTGGTTAATTGTTCAACACTATTAATAGGTTCATTATAAACCAGTTGTTTCATGTGACCCCACAAAAAGAAATCGCATGGATTTAAGTCCGGAGATCTCGGAGGCCACTTAGTAGGTCCATTTCTGCCTATCCACTTTTGAGGAAATCTAATGTTCAAAAACTGCCGTACGTTTAAATCAAAGTGAGGAGGAGCGCCATCTAGTAGGTACCACATCCGTTGCCTTAATTGTAACGGTATCTCTTCTAGGAGTACTGGCAAAATATCTTGTAAAAAGTGGAGATATCCTGGCCCATTTAATCTGTTCGGGAGAACATAAGGCCCGATTAAATACTGATCTATTATGCCAGCCCAAGCATTTATTGAAAATTTTCTTTGATGCCCAGTTTCCCTAATGGCATGAGGATTTTCATCACTCCAAATATGCGTATTGTGCATATTGAACACGCCATCACGAGTGAATGAAGCCTCGTCAGTATACAATAATATTTTTAGAAAATCAAGAATATCAACACATTTTTGAATCATCCATTCACAAAACTCCACTCTCTTTTCTTCATCACCTGGATACAAGGCCTGGACTTTTTGGATGTGATAAGGATGTAAACCTTGTTCTTTAAGTGTCCGCCACACAACAAATGAGGACACTCCAATTTCAAGACCTAGTCTTCTACAACTTAATTGAGGCCGGTTTTCAACAGCTTCCAATATTTCTTCTTCGGCCGCCAATGTTCTTTGTGTTCTTGTTCTCCCTCGATCTGCATTGACACTCTCAAATTTTCCATGGTCTTTTAGATGCTGAACAGTTGAAATAAACGTACGACAGTCCGGAATTCTCCGATTTGGAAACCGTTCGCGATACAGGATTTGTGCTTGCCGAGAATTTTCTTCAGCTGCCCCATAAACCAGCACTATATCCGTTAGTTCAATATTCGTAAATAGTGGCATCGTAAAAAAATATTTAAAAGTAATCGTAACAACACTTTTTACCAACTTGGAAATGACGCGCTCGTGTTAGCCAGATTCGTAAATCAACTAAAATTTTAATAATCTATAGTTTCAAAAATGTATAGTTTAAAAACAATCATTTATCAAATATTCTAGTTTTTTGATAACGAGGGTAGTAAAAACCAGTCTTCGGAAATAGAAATTAATTCGAAAATCTTGGCAACATGGTTATTTCTTACAAGACTAGTTTTCTTATCATCTGACAAAAACTTGCATATTAATTACTGTTGATGTTTAAAATAGGTAAATAAACCTAATTTATATAGGTCATCCTCAACATATCAGTGAAGTACGTTTGTTTTAGAATTAATTTTCAAAAATTAATAACTCCCTTAATAAGGGGTATTTTTAAAAAATAATATTTTTCTACATTCAGTGGGGATCTGCGCAATACCCAGTTTTAATATGTATGTGTATGTTAATAACACCCTGTATATTTCAGTTGACGTGTACTATAAGGTGAACATGTATGTAAACTATCATTTTCATATGTGGTCGTAGGAAAAAAAGATTTCTAAAGTTTCACGCATATCGAAGCGAACAATTCTTCTTCTTTCAAGTGTCAGTTTGGATTTTATTCAGAGTCGCGCGTAGCTATCACGCATATAACTCGTATCTCTGTCTTTGTCGATCATGGCCTGGTTTAAAAACATTTTTTATAGATTACTGTTTATATTTATAAGCCTTATCTCACGGAATGCGTTTATCGAATATTTTCATTACGTAATTTTCAAATATGTCGCATGAATATTGTTATACAACACAAAACTGGTAATATAGGTATACTTAACTCTTTAGGAGATAAATAAATATAATATTAAATTAGTAGAATTACAGTCAATAACGTTAATTAAGAATATATGATATGTAATTGGGAAATGTAACTTTGCTTTTACTTTAATTAAGCTTGCCGCTTAATATTAATAAGTATAATACATTAATTTAACGGGTTACTTATGAGTAGGCTTATTAATTTATAATAATTCATTTTAAAACGATTTGATCAATATTAATCTACACTGTGTTCCAATAAAAATTGAGCTATGTGATTTCTATTTTTGGTCTCGTTAATATAGAAACACTAATGATTCTGAGCCAATAATAACAGATTTACAGGTCACCTTCACGTCTATTGATAATTGAACGCATACTTACCAACATCAAACATACACCTATTACAATCAATCCTAATAAAGCAGCTAACCATCTGCCCATTCTATGTCCTAAAGGACCGAATAAATTTGTACCAATTAGGTATGATATGCTTGCAGGGAGAAATGTAACGCCTTGTTTCCATCTTCCGGCTCCCATGGTATCCATCATCCAAATAGGAAGCGATGGTTCTAACATTGCGATCCCCATATTGGCAAAAGTTATAGCACCTAAAAAAATAAGTTAAATTTTGTCATTAAAAAACAAAAATGTGATACTAGCCAATTTTTTGGTCTTTCAATTTTTATTAAAAAATAAAATTATTACCGGCCGCTATAATGATATATGGATCTGTAACCAAAGCTTTAAGTGATGGTGGATCTGATTCCTGCCTTATAACTGACGGTTGTAGCATTAAAAGTTGAAGCACTAAAAACAGAATGAAGAATATATTATTTCCTTAGCAAGAATTATCAACTGACTATTATTATTATTAAAAATATACAACCAGAAAAAAGAAAAATATCTCAATGTACTCAAAAAACTAGGTAACAAATTTATAATCGGTGAAGATTACAACTCCAAACACACAAACTGGGGTTCAAGATTAACCACAATCAAAAGAAAAGAATTGCACCGAGCTGCATCAGAACTTTGTTGTACATAACAATCTTCTGAAAAACCCATCTATTGGTCCACCGATGAATAAGATTCCAGACCTTTTGGATTTTTTTATTTTGAGGAAAATTTCACCAAACTATACACAAGTAGAAGAAAACTTTGTTATGGATTCAGACCATTCTGCAGTAATCCTTACTCTAAGTGATAATGTTATTCAAAGAGAAGCCAAACCGACCCTCGCAAATCGGAAAACTAATTGGGAAGGTTTTCAAATACTATTCAACTGACCATAACACTAAAAACGAAAAATCAGCTAGATGAAGAACTGGAAAGGTTATAGTTGAAATCCAGCAAGCTGCATGAAGGAATACACCAAAAATAAGAAGATTAACAGCTAGAAAAAACTATCCTGTCGAGATAAGAGAACTGCTAGCAGAAAAAAGAAAACTACGAAAGAAATGGCAGATGACAAGATCACCAGAAGATAAAAATATATTAAATAGGGCTACCCAAAGACTGAGAAGAGAAATCCTAAATCACAAAGAAGAATCCTTCAACAGATACCTAGTAGGGCTAACAGATGATAAAGAAACTGATTATTCACTCTGGAAGGCAACTAAAAAGATGAAAAATTCGTGTAAACACTGTCCTCCTATCAGAATAAAAGATAACAAATGGGCAAGAGACAATCAACAATATTTTCGCTGGCCACCTACAAAAGACGTTCCAATTAAATGAAAATCAAGACACTCCTAATGAGACCATCCATAATATGGATCAACTTGAAATTAAGCTAGTTACTCCCAATGAAGTTACGAAAGAAATTCAAAATAAAGTCCTAAGATGCATTGTTGATGCACCTTGGTTCTACCGAAACGATTATCTTCAGAGAGACCTGAAGATGCCAACAATGGAAGAAGAAATAAAGAGGTTTGCTGCGAAACATAAGGGTCGACTCCACTCCCACGTCAACGAAGAAGCTATTTGAGCTAATACAGTGAACTTTAATGTTAGTGCTAGTGTAAAATAGTGTAATAAATCGTCACGCCAACTTGTGATTCTTTGCTATAGAAACAATTAAGACATAAGTAATTAGTTTGTAAGATTTTTAGATTAAAATTATAGGTTAGTCAGTAATTACTAGTAACGATAATCTTACAAAAAAAAATAACTTACGCCCATCTCCAAGGGCCAGCGCCGAAAGAATTAAAAATGGCGCCGATTTTCCTACAAATTCGTACATGACACCACCAAACGGAGGTCCAATTAGAACTCCCAAAGCGAGTCCTCCTAAAGCTATGCCCATCGCATTTCCTCTTTCCTTGTCATCTGGATACCTCTCTGCAAGCATTCCCATACCCGATACGCTGGAACAAGACGATCCAATACCCTGAAGGGCTCTTGCTATGAATAATACACTATAGCTTCTACCAAACGCAAAAACTGAAAAAGATAGAAATAATTTAAAAAATACAATTAGAAAAAATATTGAACTGTTTAAATTAGGAGCAGCTATCAAAGTGCTGAGCTCTTGGGTAATCAGCTCAAAAATGGGCCTAGAGAATTAAGCTACATGGTTCTTTTAGCAACGACGAACAATTACTATAGTCTCAAGGAACGAGTGATAGGTAATGACCTGAGCCGATCTAAAATTAATAACATATTTTAATTGGTAACCGTTAATTAAAATATCAGTATAAATAATGATAAGAAATAATATTAAAAAAGAAAGATCAACATGTATTACCTGTAATAATAATTGTCTAGCATTAAAAGTATGGTTGATTTGTAATCCTTGATTTGAAATATTACCAATCTCTATTTCTATATTTGATTTTAAATCCATTTTAATTAAAATATCTATGATACTTATGGACACGAAATCTTTTTAATAATTCATCATTGGATAGTTTTAAAACAATTTTTACTATTATAAATTTATCAAGGAATCCTTTTATTATCCATAATGTTTATATAGGGTGTCCCATAATGTTTTGCTGTTTTGGTTCTGAAATAAAACAAATGCTTTCGCCTACAATATATTAAATTTATTGTGAAAATGTTAATAAAAAATGCGGATTTTAATTTCTTAAAAACAATGCTCTCCAGATGTCTTCCTGTGTCGCGCATTCTTGAGGTCTGGACCTTAAATTGTAATAAACAGCTCGTTTTAGCCTTTATTCGCAATTTGAAGACCCCCAGAGTGTGTGGTGGTGTTTCGTACACCTTGGACTTTAGATAGCGCTACAAAAAATCCAGGGGAGTCAGATCAGGACTTCTTGGGGGGCAACACATATCACCCCACTTTGAAAAAAATATCTATTAGCGTTGCCAAAGATCTTCTGGCGCCATTTTGCTGAAACCAGGTATTATTACTAAAAAACCCGCAACTTTCCTTTACCTGGCAAATTTAAAGTCGTATCGCTTATATTTAACGTTGCCAAACTAGCGCTCTCCAAAAACAACAAAACATTATGGGACACCGATTATTTTTAGCCTCATCTATAGTATCCATTATGCATAAATGATCGAATATATCTATCTCATATACAATTAAATTCAGGCAAATTTTCAATAAAAAAACGAATTTAGATATCTTACTATACAGAAAAGTATTATTTTTTAAATATCTAGTACTAACAATAAAATAAACGTGAAAGTAAAAATCGGAAAAGGAAATCAAACAGTAATAGAGCACAAATAACAGCAAAAAGATCAAAAAAAAATCTATAAGAAAGGCAGTCCTATATACCCCTGGAGGTTGCAAAATGGTCCTAATGTGGCCTAAGTAATGTGGAGGTAAACCACTCTCCTTATCGATGTGCTGATATGAAATAGGACCACACGCAAGAGCAATTGAAAGCAAAATGAAAAAATAAGAAGGCAAAGCAAAATGAAAGTAGGAAGGCAAGGGAAAAAATTCAAAATCGATATAACAATCTATTTATATCTATATTTACCCCAAGAAATCGATTCTAACGGTGGTGATGACGTTTGATAATTCTAAAAACTCTGTTAAAAAAGATTGAACATGAACACCCCCGTACTACTTCTAGTAGTGGAACCAAAAAGAAAAATGTACCAACTGCAATGATTCGGCTCATTGCTCATTACATTCCCTAATCTAGTTAACACGGTAAAGCGTAACATCTGAAGGCGCTTTGTGATAGAACGGCGTGTAAGTGGTTCTAATTAAATCACTTTGGGGAGCAGCGATAATAAGAAGCGACTTCTCAACTAATGGAGATGCTCTCCTCCGACTTCCCAATCATTAGATAAAAGTGACGACTTTGGTTTGTATTGGGTCTATCTCTTTCGCAATTACGCGAAACGGAAAATAGACATAGACGTGCGACAGGTGATACACGAAATTCTCTTTTAACCCTGTTGTTTTCGAAGTGGTTGTTGTATATAGATCTTTATTAGTAGGTATAACTTTTACTTATCAAAGAATAACTAAATCTAATACTATGGTTGACGAGTAATTATAGATGACTGATATTTATTATAGTTCCATGAACTGCTGGGAAGATTTGTCCTGTAAAGTACTAATCCAGTCTTTCAAACAAAAAATACATATTTTAAGTCTCTTATACAACTTTCATATGAATTTTGGATGGTATAAAAGCATATGTCATCTGCATATTGGATGATTTTAATGAGATCATCCATCAAATCATGCAATTCTGCTGTATATATGTTAAACAGAAGTGGGCTTAAAACAGGTCTTTGTGGAAGACCATTATATACGGTTCTCGGGCCATGTACTACATTTTTTATGATCACGGATAAATATCTTTCTGTTTATAAATAAGTTAATTATGTTTGCAGATACCTTATTATTGATGCCAATTTTATTCATCTTAGATTGTAAAATACCTAGATCGGCCACGTCATAGGCGCCTGTTAAGTCTATAAATATTTGATTTTCATAGTCACCCATGATTTTAAAAGAAACATATAAAGAGAATAAATTGTATTTTACTTACTTATTGTAGACAGAAACATTATGATGAAACCTGCGAACATGGGAATACTGTAGCCAATTCTATAGAAAAAAATAAAATTAGTTGTAAATTTTTAATATTATTCCATAATAAATTATAGTACAGAATCTGGGGTTATTTTGGTTCTAAAGTAGCAAGAAATTGATCATAGATGGCGCTATTTATAACCATAAAAAGATTACTAGTAAAAACGGCAATTTCAAAAAATTTATAAGTATAATCCAATTAAAAAACCCTCCAAAAATTATTTATTAATAATTTGTGTTTGTAATCGAAATTTTAAAAACATTAATTGAATCTTTAGGTACATTTAGTTTTATATTAAATGGATATAATAATTAATTTGAGCAAAAGCAGACAGTTCATTCTAACTTTAACAATAAATAGTATATTTTATGAAATCATAGAAAACATTAACTTACTTGTGAGTTAAAGGACCAACAAAGGGATTGGCCAGTAACTGCACAAATGCCTTCGAGGCAAACATTATTCCCACTTGAACAGTTTCCTGCACCAAATCTTTGTGCCTTAGCTTTCTTTCCTCCTCCTCGGGATCTATCGTGGTATAATTATCTGAAACAAAAGCAACAATACCCTAGTTACTAACATGGAATAATTATTATACAAGTTGTCTCAATATTCTGGTCACATATAGCGTTACAGAAACTTATGGCAACTTAACGAACTTCTACAGTAGATGTTTATATTTGTCAGTTATAAGCAGGTAGAGTTAGATTTATCCCAGAACACCAAGGCTTCTTGTAACTATGGTATTTTCCTGATTTCCTCATATTCAGGTACTATCTCTTAAAAGTCTTATGTCTTTGATTAGTTTTATTAGATTCCCTGCCAAGTGTTCCTGGAGCCCCTTTCCGATTCTAGATCTATAATTTTGGATTCGAAGATAATGTGGCATGAGGTTTATTCCTCTTTTCTACACGTGGTGGGATCATTGTGCAATCCCATCACATGAAGGTGCTTCAGCTAGTAGAGTGTCCTGTGAACACCTAGGACCTTACGAGCTGTGGTCCTTAGTAGCCATGCCTCGGTTAGATCTTCTGAGCATGAGCTTACTGATTCTGCGTTCTCTTATCTGTTGCTAGTGAGTTTTTTGTTATCCATCTTTTCCACTTCTTCAAATAGAAGTTTTGTTTATCCCAAATACAGGTTTGGTTCTTGTAAATGGTAATTATGATCTCTATTAGGTGGGTTCATCAGCCTTTTCCTTGAATACATTTATATCCTGGTACCTACGCTATTTTTACCTTTACCAACTTCAACTTTCTGAGATAATCAAGATGTTTTTTTCTACAGAAGATAAAGAGAAATGATTTATAGGATTAATTAATAAATTAAAAAAGAGAAACCTATGATTTCTGCTTAGATATTGCCAATTCTCATCAATGCTTTGGAAATAATAGTATTAACTCGGTATATGAACTAGGATCTTAAAGAAGTTAAGTTTAAGTACACAAAATACATTTCTCGTACAAAAATACTTACAGTTATCTACACTTGTTGGTGTTGTCGACGAATTATTGTTGGCACTTTGATTAAATTGTTCACAAGGACAAGGAGGGAAAGTACTTGTTGTCGTAGTAGTAGTCATCATCCTTGCTGATCCTAGTGGTGCGTCTGGATGGTTTATGTCATATAAGAACTCCGGGATAATGGGCACTGCAAGTAAATAAAACAATTAGTAATTCGTTAAAATCTATAATCAAATTTTTGTTTTTGTTTGTGTAAAACTGTTTCTTTGAATATCTAAATATGGATCTCGTTCAAAAATTTTAAATAAATTTGGGAAGGCATTTACAACCTTTAGTATTATTTTACCAAAATTGGTCGTAAAAAAAAGATATTTTATTTGCATTATCTGAAACTATTTTTTCTTAGTTTTTAGTAAAATATTTCAGAAATTATTTAGCTGTCAAAATTTGACGCCCCAGTTTTAGTAATTAATTTACACCACTAAACCTAAAATAATGACGAGGCAGAAGACATACCTCATAAATGGCTGAAGTTATTCTAATTCCTAAGCCAGGATAACCTCTGAATGAAGTGTCATCACATAGACCTATATCATTGTTACCGATAATTAAGTTATTTGAAAACTACTAAAACGACTAAAACCAATAATTGAAAATAAAAATCTGATCCCTTCGCACCAATTTGGTTTTAGAAACAAACACTCGACAATAGATCAAGTACACAGGATAGCCGATATCTTTGAAAAAGCTTACGAAGAAAAATATACATGCTCAGCTATATTTCTTGACGTAGTCCAAGCATTTGACAAGAAACTTGACAGAAACTTGAAAAAATGCTCACTAGACAATATGTCGACATTCTACAATCATATTTAACGGGAAGAATGTTTAGAGTAAAGCAAGACGAGGCATACTCCGAAATGAAAGAAATTATTGCAGGTGTCCCACAAGGCAGTGTGAAGGACCAGTTCTTTACTTATTATACACCAGCGATATCCCTCAACAACAATCTGTCAAAATAGCAACATTTGCGGATGACACTGCAATATTGGCAGTTGGCGGAACTAATACAGAGACCTCAGAAAAACTTCAGGAAACCTGCAACAGAATCAATCGATGGACAAAAAAGTGGAAAATAAAAATAAATCAAACTAAATCAGTGCATGTTGATTTTACTCTTCTACCAAATGAACAAAAACAAATAAGAATAAACAGTGACGTTATTCCGCATCACGATTCAGCCAAATACCTAGGGATGAACCTAGATGTAAGACTTAAATAAAAAGAGCACATAAAAAAAAGAGTGAAGAACTTGAACTTAAATCTAAAAAAATGTATTGGCTTCTAGGAAGAAAATCCAAATTGTCAGTGCACAACAAACTGCTGATTTATAAACAAATCCTAAAACCAATCTGGATTTATGGCATACAGCTATGGGGATGTTCCAGCAAGAGTAATATCAACATGATGCAAGTTTTCCAAAATAAAGTCCTAAGATGCATTGTTGATGCACCTTGGTTCTACCGAAACAATTATCTTCATAGAGACCTGAAGATACCAATAATCGAAGAAGAAATAAATAGGTTTGCTGCGAAACATGAGGGTCGACTCCTCTCCCACGTCAACGAAGAAGCGCTGCAATTACTGGACAACTCTACACTCAACAGAAAGCTCAATAGGAAGAAGCCATTTAAGTTAGTGCAGTGAACGTTAATGTTGTGCTAGTGAAAAACAGTGTAATAAATCGTCACACCAACTTATGATGCTTTCCTGTAGAAACAATTAAGACAGCCCAATGGAGACTTCTTAGATAAGTAATTAGTTTGTAAGATTTTTAGATTAAAATTGTAGGTTAGTAATGACCAGTAACAATACTCCTAAGTCATTAATTCATTTTAAGGTAACCGCTGCTTAACATACTGGAATAGTAGTGATAAAAAGTAGTGAATTCACCGGTAATAGTGCATAATATATAGCATTTTAAACGAGAAAATTAACAAAAATTGATACAATTTAAAACTCTCTTAGAGAAAACAGTTTTTTTGAATTTTATTTAACCAAGCATTAATTCGCTATATAAAAACCTTTTAGTGTTATTTTCTTACACACTCCTCGTACACTCTCTTCAGAGTAATGGTTTTAGATATATCCCTTTGCTAACGAATGCACTCATCCATTTTTAAACAGTGTCAGCGGCGTGGCCATATATTTCAGAGGCAACTGCAATCTGTTGATTCTATTCCATGTTTAATTCAATGAAACGGACTATTTAACTCCGAGATAAAATTTCAAATACACTTGGATTCATTTATTCCGGTCGAATAAATTCATGATAACAGGATTTAATGGATCGTGTTCTTTAACGGAACATAAGTAAATGGTACCTGTACCTATACGACTTTGGTTTCCAGAAATTTATTTTCAAATTAACTACAATGTAGTTATAATAAAAAAAAATGATAATACTTAACAAATACTGACATAATTCATCAAAAACGTACTCCAAAATTGACATTTACGCGAAAGCGACATATTAATCAACTAAAAAAAAAAAATATAGTACCAGTAAATAATAATTTAGGCAGATGAAGAATTAAAAATCTAAAAGGCAAAATATATTTTAGATTAAAAAATTCTATACCTATATTCCTAAACCGCAGTCCTGTAAAAATTGAATATACGCATTTGACGATTCCTCGACAAAATCGACAAAGTAAAAATCCCATCAGGATAGAATTATTTTTAAATTCCTTTTTGTCTTTCTCTTTTTTCCGCTTTTTTTTTTCTATATTGCAACTATAATCTTCTAGATCGGTGATTAACTTACGGTCAAGTAATTGAAATTTGAAGTTAATTAAGTCGTAGCTGCATGATTCGAGCTCCTCTAAGCATCATCCTCGGAGTTTCTAATCTACTTTGAAATCAATCTCAATTCTAAATACACTCCTAATAGTCTTATAAGCCTACAGGAACATCGTGCACAGCCTTCGGCTGCATGTCATGGATACGAATTTAATTTAGTAATATTTATAAAATATGAGATGGTTATAAAATGTGCACCCTTAGAACGAGATTGGAATATAAATATTATGCTACAAAATAAAGAATGTTTAAATATTGGTATTACATTCGATAGGTTTATTAGAGGATGTTTTACATTATTTGTGAAAATAGGACTTTATCTAAACATACATTATAAAATAACTTCTATTTTGTACTTAAAAACAGAATAAACAACTAAATTTTATTATATTTTTTTTTGGCGTAGAGTTTAGAGCATATAAAACTAGAGGTGTTACGCAAATAAGTTTGTTATGTACTGAGGGGGATAGCCTCTGCGGTGTTAAGCACACGACGCTTTATAATTGGTGAATTAAAATAACGTTCATTTGTGACAAACGACATTTCATTTGGCGTCTTATCATTATGTTTCAAATAATGAACGTTTTTCTAGCTACTAAAAACAATTTGGACGAGGCGCCTCTTTTATAAACTTTGTAGGGTAATTTTAATATAAAATAAGTAATTATATATATATATATATATATATTCAGATCCTCGTTGGCTCTAAGGCAGTGGTCGCCAACCTGTCCATCGCGAGCTGCTGATAGCTCGCAGAGGCAATTCTGGTAGCTCTCACAACGATTTTAATTTAAAAAATACAAACTGCAAAAATCAGAGAAGCTTCCGAAAATTCCACAAAAAAATCTAATTGTCATAATAATAAACATAAACAGCGGCAACGTTGCGGTGAGCGATCTGCCACTGACGCCATCAAGCTAGAATCGGCTAGAACCGATCAGCCGGACCAGCGCGTTAGTGTTCGAGAACGATCAGGATTGCTTTGAACTGGATAAATACTCACGGCGCGGCGACATTGCGCTTAGTTTAAAACTGAACGCGTAACCAACGTCCAGCGGTTGGGTTACATTCTAATTTTGAAAAATCATTCCCACTATATTCTGCCGCCAGAAAGGAGAAACTGAAACAGTTAAAAAAGCAGTTAATTGGACAACAATCAATATTTTTAAGAACAGTCGACAAAAATAAGGCTGCAACTGAAGCATCGTACCGTGTGTCCCAGATAATTGCACAAAAAACAAACCTTATGAAGACGGGGAAATGATAAAACAGGCGTTTTTAGAAGCTGCTGATTCGTTATTTGCCAACTTTAGAAATAAAGACGAGATAGTTTCAGCTATAAAATCTATGCAACTTTCTGCTAATACAGTGATGAGACGTGTAGAAGTAATGAGCAATGATATTTTTTTACAGTTAGAACTGACTTAGATAACTGTGTTTATTTTTCACTTCAACTGGATGAATCAACAGATGTCGTTGACACTGCCCAGATGGCTGTGTTCGTTAGGATGGTTTTTAGTTATTTCACGATTAAAGAAGATCTTTTGAAGTTTATTCCACTGAAAGGACACACTACTGGACAGGAGTTGTTTTCTCATTTAAAAAATATTATTTCTTTAGAGAAAATTCCAATATTGGAAATGGTAGGCTTGACAACCGATGGCGCTCCAGCTATGGTGGGTTGTGATAAAGGTCTGGTGGCGTTATGTCGTAAAGATGAAACTGTTCCGCAATTTCTCTGTTACCACTGCATTATCCATCAGCAAGCATTATGTGGAAATTTCCTGAAACTAAACAACGTTATGAAACTGGTAGTAAAAATTGTGAACAAGATTAGAGCTCAAGCGTTACAAAGAAGATTATTCAAAACCTTGGCCGTTGAAGTTGACTGTCAATACGGGGACCTACTCCTTCACTCTGAAGTCCGATGGTTAAGTAGAGGACGGGTGCTAAAACGTTTTAATGATGTCCTATCTGGCATAGTTCAATTTTTCAAACAACGCGATGAACCGACTCCGGAACTAGAAAATTCAATCTGGCTTAGAGATTTTGGTTTTCTCGTGAACATTACAGAGAAATTAAACGAACTTAATTTGCAGCTTCAGGGGAGAGACAAAGAACTAGCGGAAATGATTTCTGATATAAAAGCATTTATCAAAAAGCTAGAGTTTTGGGAACAAAACCTAATTAACAGCGATGCCAAGCATTTTCCTATTCTTTCAGAAAAATTATCTCAAAATCCATTAGAACCCTATGACAGCAGCAAATATCATGTAGAAATAGTTTCTACCCTGAAGAATAACTTCAAAAATCGTTTTAAGGATT